AACACACTAAGACCTTCATAGAAGTATTGGATGCTCTCTTGTTGTTTATACCTGTAGAATGCTAACTGTAAAATGACCATAAGGCACAGGCACTAGGAAATAACTTGAAGGGAACCCAGAGATTCACAAATCAATTTATGCTGATTGGGAATTGCATTTAGAAAATGAGGTGACGTCTTCTCATTTCACTGGCATAGTTCAACTGAAAATCAGTACTTGCACCCTGTCTTCTCTGCCTCTTATTTGGGCTTAAGTTGCATGTATGAGATACTGTTTTGGAGAAACAGCAAGGCTAGGAAGCCAGAGTTTTTTAAGGGTCAGCAGCAGATTCTGAGACTGAGGAGCTCTCTTTTTGTGTGCTCTTTAGGTATAGGCTGTGAAACATGCATGTGCTGACCCTGGTGCCACAGTTCTCTACTTTTCAATAAGACTCATGGGATTGTGAGACTGGGATGGGGATGGGCAGGCTGTGAGACTGTAGTGTCTCTTGTGATGCTCCACCCTTAAATGGAGAATAGGGGGCCAGAGCAAGTGGGTGTGTTGGGAGTATATGCTGGTACTAACAGGACCAACCTGATTTCCCGGATATTGTTCTACTAAGAGCATAATCACCATGAGGAAATGAATTTGTTGGAATGTTTAGCATCATTTTCTAGCATTTGGCGGGGGGAGTGTTGTGGGAAGGGAATCGTGTACGGTTTCAAGGATAGAAGTTGTTTCCTGGTTCATTGGTTTTAAAATAGAGATTGCAATCTTTGCTCCTATCTTGGGTTGTACAACTCTTCCTTGGTTATATAAATTGTCTTTGAAATTGATTGAATGTGATGTAAAATTATGTGTTTATATAAAGCCCTGTGTGAATAGAACAGCAAGGAAACACTGACAGTAAAGGAGAAGGATTTAATCATTTTCCCAAAAGTTTCCTACCATTAAATTGATAAAATAAAGGGATATTTATTCTATTCTGTTTATTACTGAGTTTTCATTCTAGTTTTTAAAAAGTGAGTTAATGCTCAGGACATAATGGACATTCAGTAAATTGTTTCAGCGTATACTTGTGTCTGTAATGTACTTGGTCTGGTACAAGATGTAAAGACAGAATTTTGTAGATAGGGAATTTTAGTTTACAATCTCCCTTCCCACTTTTGCTTATGGTTTGGGGAGAAAAGCTCTACTTTCAAAGGGTATGCAAGTTAAGATTTTGTAAATGGTTGAATCTTATATCTTTGTATTGAATAGTTTTCTTAAAAGCATTTTGTTTTGATGAGATTGAAGCAATCATGTATTGTTTTTTTTGAAAATAATTCTGTCAAATCACCTTTTCATTTTGTCTCCAGGGTACTGTCGCCAACAACGGCACAAATACTAACTTTTAAAATGTTGCCCTATTCGCACAGTCTGGAGTTGATTATTTTTTGATTCTTTCAGATCAATCTAGTAATAAAAAGTAAACATTTCTGACAAAGATGGAACTACTTTTTAGAAAATTGTTTTTTACAAGGTGGTATTTAAATGAACTTACAAGTCTAGGATTGAATAAGCATGCCATTAAGAGAGGTGGTAGATAGAGGGAGGCATTTAAAAAAAATATTAGTAATACTGGTGCAAAGCAGTAACATTAGGACTTCATCTTTTCATTACCATTGATTATAACATGTCGAAATCCTTGGTTTAGGAAGCTAAAAATAAATAAGTTGCTTTGATAGAAAGTGGCGGTGAATAAAAATATGATTGACGTGATATGCTTATTGAATGTTTACTATGTACTGAGCACTCTGCCAAATTCTTTGCATGCAATATCTCATTTTAATCATTACAGTAACTACAAAGTAGCTAGTACTATTATGCCCACTTTATAGGTGAGGTAAATGAAATTTAGAGAGGTAAAGCAACTTGTCCAAGATTACCTGGCCAGAAAGTTGCTCTGCTAGAATTTACACTCAGGCATACTGATTCTAGAGCCCTTGCTCTTTATTGTACAAAGAATGGATTGCTGTTCCCTTAACACTTGGATTCCAGAGATAAGCTAAAGTGCCTTTTGTTTTTAGGATGGTCTTTCATTGCTAATTTAGGAGAGACTGTGTAAGACTTTCATGATTAGTACTGCTTTTGAAATTAGTTTCAGACAGGCTTATTAGTGAATACAGTACTTAAATACTTAGTTATATTGGAAAGAATCTTCAATTCCTTTAAGATTTCAGGGAAAACATCTTAAGATGAACATTGAAAATGAAATATTAAGGCTTATGACAACACACAAAAAAAGAAGTAGTATATGATATTATTTTTTTGTTTACTGTTCAGTCAGAGCACTGGTTTTTATTGAAAAGTACTGATTGTTCATAAGTAAATCTTGTGTGCTTATATTTCCAGGTAATAATAGTGATTCTTCAGATTATCCATTGTTAAGGATTATTATTTCTTTCCACCTCTTCATATAGGTTGTGAAATGTTCTAAGTGTTCTATTCCACCTTTTAATATTTGACAGCAAACTTCTGGGTTTTTTTTCTGATTATATATGCACAACCAATTAGTCAAGTATCTGTTGAACATGGGTTAGATCTGGGTCTGTGAGCCTTCAGGTTTTTAAAATTTTATTTCTGAAGAATAACAGCTATGCATCAGTGTGGAATTGGGTTATCTGGAACATCACCTTTTTAGAGTGGGTTGGTATTTGACAAGAAGTAAACCAAAGAGGCTCCCAAGCAGCTGAAATGCCCAGACAAATGGTGTATACACTTTGTTCGTAGATGGACTTTTAGGCTTTCATTTAAGAGTTCTTTATTACTATTTAGCACGTATTCAGTTGTGTGGTTTTTGAAAATTGCATATTAGAAGGGAATGAGTGGATACTGGTATTAAGCATGACACCTACTAAAAAGAATAGACAGACAATTCAGGAAAACAAGCACGTTGAAATTACTTGGTATAGGTTTACACAGCTCCAGGAGAAATCACTCTGATAATTGTTCAACATGTTGACCTAGAGAAGGTTAAATTATACTAACTTCACTCTTTTTTAAAAGGGCAGGAGGCAGGAAAGTCTCTTCTAGATAGCTGGAGGTCTGTAAGAACTTCTCACTACATCAGACATTCTCTAATTTCTTGGTCACTGAAGTGATGAGGAAGAGAACTGGATCATCTCTTTTGGTTGATCAGCTCTAGTTGGATTTCAGTGATAGGGATAAAGGTACTAAAGGCTTTAGTAGGCTTGCCCAGAGTATTGTTTCCAACTCTTTCTTCTGTTGTCAGTCTACGTTTATTACTCAGCAACAGCATTTTATCTGATTTAAGGTTTGTAGTAGTATTTTTCTCTTCTGTGGTATTATGTGGAGTTGCTGTTTGGATTTTGACCTGCCCATATCTTCTATTTGTGGAGTGCTTAGAAGGCACTGCATGGAATCATTTAAGTTTTCTTATGAATTATGATTAGTTATTAGGCAGTAGCTTTACCAAATACACTTATGGCCTAGGTAATGAGAATTGAAAAGGTGGGTATCTTAATCATTGATCTGAAGAAAAAGCACGATCGTGGCAAAGTACTTTTTTCTCTTTGGAGTTCAATAGAGTAAATTAAGAAATAAAAAGATACAGAATTCAGGAAACATGAACTTCAATGTGGGAGAGCAGTGAAAGATTACAGTAGGACAGCTGGTCCAGATTGGGGCAGGAGACAAGGGCAGAGAGAGGTTCTCAAAGACAAAAAATAAAAAGGAAAAAAAAGAACTGATAGATTATCTGATACATTTGAGCATATGTAAATAGTATTGAGAGATGTTTTTAAAAATTTATGGAGCATTTAGAAAGAATTAGCAATAGCTGCGTAGGAAACAAAGTCATTAAAAAACTGAGGCAATTTCTTACTTTGAAAAGAAGCAAAGTTATATTAGAAGGAATTAGGTCTAAGAAATTCTTAGAGGCTTTAATGGCTAATAAAGCTAAAAAGATTGGTGTTACAGATTTCTTTCCAAGGAAGGCTAACTTATCTTTTAAAAATGTGACTCCCTCTACTTCCCCTTATTCCATGAAATCAGTTAATTCTTTTTAATTGATTAGCCACTTTTTTCATGACTTGTGTTGAAGTTGTTGAGCTGAGTCAAATTGCTTGCTACTCCTAGACTTCGGAGTTTATAGAGGCAGCACCCGAAGAGTTGGAGGTGCTGGAGTTATGCCTGGCATCAGACTGACAGTATTGGGGGTGCATTTGCTGTCCTATTGGAATTTCAGAGCTTTCACACTCTACACATTATTTGAACTCTGAAGGGAAGGGGGAAGCTTTGAGTTGGTAGGGTTTCAGTAATAATATATAATTATATGTATATATGTTTATCATATTTGCATAATATATAGTAATCACAATAATATTAATTGGATGCTGTATGCTAGACAATTATATGGTTATCTTATTTACATATTTTGCTTTAAAAAATGGAATTTACTCACGTTTCAAAATTTAAAGGGTGATGTCTTCCTCCTGCTCCTGCCCTTTAACTACCAGTTCCCTTTCCTGGAGGCAGCCAGCATTCCAATTTCTTATGTATCCTTCGATAAATATTCTGAATCGTTATAGGTTATTTCTACTGGGGAATTATATTTTATGTATACATAGCTAAATTAACACTGGCTTTAGCATAAGAGTATTAGGATTAAAACAAAATTTAAATCAATTACTCTAGAAAAGTGGCTATTGTTTTTCATCCTAGTAGATTACTAAACTCTTATTTTTGAGAATATGAGTTAGATGGGGAATAAGAACAAAGATGAGAGAGTACTTCTCTTGGTAATAAGAGGTAAAATGCTAATAGTCATAACCAGTGAACACTTAGTAGCACATTTAAAATATTTACGACTGTGTATTTGAGAAATGATCTAGAGTGTCAAGTAGATGTTATCTGTGTTCTTGCTGGAAATAGTTGTTTATTTCATGGTGGAGAGTAAGACAAAGGATAATTTATGTTTTTCCTTTAACTTTCCATTTTTCTAACATCTCAGATGAGACAACCTGTTCTCTTGAGAGATCAGAGGCGCAGAGTGCGTCAATGTCAGTGAAGCCTGTGCCTTTTACCTCTTTAAGAGCGCACGGTTTCATTCTGCTCCTAAACTAAGAACTCCTTAGTCTTGTTTAAAAAAATATTTTTTATTTTTATAAAGTAATACATTCATATAATTTAAACAAATCAGATAGTGCAGAAAGTCTTATTATGGAAGCCAATCATCTGCCCCCCCCCCCCATTTCTGTTTCTCAGTGGCAACCTTAACTATGACAGCTATTTCTTCCACTAGTTTTTGTCATATTTTTAATTAGTGTACTTTTTGGTTTTTTCTTAAAATTATATTTAGATATTGTTTATTGTCTTCTCATTATGGTAGATATTATTTATTGTCATCTCCATCTGCCTTTTGCTATCATGCTAATATAATCATACCACTATTTTTAGTTAAATCATTTTATTTAAATTATTATTCAAATGATTAATATTCAGTATCTAGACACTAAAAATATTCTTAGCAGAAGCAAGTAGTATACAGTGATCACATTTGCTTTTAAAAACAGCTTTATTGAGATACAATTTACATTCCATAAAATTCATTCAATTTGTACAGTTCAGTGTTTTTTAGTATATTTACAGAGTCTTGCAACCATCATCCAGTCTAATTTTAGAAGATTTTTATCACCCCAAAAAGAAACCCTGTATGTATTAGTAGTCATTCCCCATATTCCCCTTCCTTCCAACTCTAGGCAACCTCTAATCTCCTCTCTATTCTATTGTTTTGCCTATTCTTGATATTTCAAATAAATGGAATGGTACGGTATATGGCCTTTTGTGACTGGCTTCTTTTACTCCACATGGTATCATCTAAGTTCGTCCAGGTTGTAGCATTTATTAGTACTTCATTCCTTTTTGTTGCTGAATAATATTCCATTGTATGACAGTGCCACTATTTGTTTATCCATTCGTCAGTTGATGGAATTTGGATTGTTACTTACTTTTTGATTAGTATGAAAAATGCTGCTATGTACATTTGTGAACAAGTTTTTGTGTGGACATAATATTTTCAGATCTTTTGAGAATACCTAGGAGTGAAATTGCTAGGTCAGTTCACTGGTAACTGTTTAATATTTCAAGGAACTGTTAAACTGTTTCCAAAGTGGCAGTCATATTTCCTTTGCTTTTAATTTTTTTATACTTATTGTTGCCATTTTATTTTTCTTGCACTGTTTGCAATTATCATAGTCTTGATTTTTTCCCCTCAGATTTTGTCAGGCATTCTCTAGATTTCCCCCACCCTCCATTCTTTTTCTGGAGTGTCCTTTTTCCTAGAGTCCTCCTCCTACTGCTGGGATCTGGTGTGGTTGTTCTCCAGGCCCTGCTGTACAGCTGTCATGCCCCGACTTCTTTCATTGCTCTTCAGGGTCCACTCCTATATCCTGGATCCCATGTGTTTGTATCACTGACTAGTTCTTATCTAACATAATCTCATGACATCAGCCAGCAGTGCCCACAGTATTAGCTGCTTGGTAAATGTATCTGGATAAGTTGTTAGATGGTGTTTTTTTCCACATTTGCTCCCAAAGTGTAGTTAAGAGGCTGACACACATTTTTGGCACGTGTCTCACCTTTTCAGTATCTAGACACTGAGGCGTAGAAGTTTGGGAGGTTTCTTTCTATCATTATGATCAAGTGATTACCATGGTAACATGAAGCAACAAGATGAAGCAAGTACAGAAATCTGAACAATATTGAATATTAAGTATTTGTTTAAACCAGAGCTATTCAATAGAAATATAATGCAGGCCACAAATGTGAGTCACGTATGTATTTTTAAATTTTCTGGGAGCTGCATTAAAAAGTATAAAAAGACACAGGTGAACTTAATTTTAATAATATTTTATTTAACCCAGTATATCCAAAATATTATTTCTACATGTAATCAATATAAAATTTACTAATGAGATATTTTATATTCTTTTTTTGGTACTAAATCTTCACATCCTAGTGGGTATTTTACCCTTAAGCACATCCTCATTTGGACTAGCCACACTTTTTAAGTGCTCAGTAGCTGCATGTCGCTAGTGGTTGTTGTATTGGACAGCACAGGTTTAGAATTTTGTCCAGGAATTATGTGATCGTGTAATATTGTTGTCAGTCTGTCTTATCATATAGTCTATTTATTCTCAAGGCACACATAAGGTGTATGTGGTTTAAAAGCACTTCATTAATTTGTCTCATTGCTCTGTTTTGTTTTTAGTCATGTCTTCAGTTTATTTTGAAATTTTATACCACATTAAAGGAGGTTGAGAGATTTATGTTCTTCAGAAAGGTGCTTGCTCTAGGAGCTAATGATTTTTTCCCTATATTTTAGTCCAACTGTTAAATGTATATTGAAATTCTTATTGGTATGCTTGTTAGATGTTAGCATTGCCATGATTGTCCTGGTCCCAGTGGAATTTTATTAGTCAAAATATTATTTGTCATACATTCTTTACCCTTGTTGTTTCAAAGACCCACCCAGCTTTCAGAGTCTCAAATGCCACCTCAACCACTTTGTCTTCCCTGCCTTATTTCAAGGCATGAAATTCACTTGCATGTCACTCCTGCAGCACTCTCTGTCACCTTCTTATATTCTGCCTTACATTCTGGTTAACTTGATTTTTCTCTCCCTAGGGAATTTTCAGTTCCAGTATGGCAAAAAAACCAGAATTTTAGTCACCTTTGTGTTTCCTATAGTGTGGATCACAGTATTTTCTGTATTCGGTCACTTAATATATATTTGAGTTGAAGGCAATTTGTCATGGTAGTTACGTGTATACTATACAAGGTAGTTACATGATATAGATTCCAGGTCACCAAACCATCGCTGATGTTTTTAGGAACATTTAAGTTTTGATATAAGAAATTAATTTATAAAGTTAAACCCGGGTTTTTATTTAAACATGGAGTAATAGTAAGGGAAGGAAAGAGACATAGAAATACAGACACTTATACTGTGTGCTTAGCACTGAGTGGTCTGAATTCTTGGGCTGGATAGCTGAATTAATGAAAGAACTTGGGTGCTACGTTGCACTGGTTGGTAAGCACAGTACTTTTGAAATATTGAGCCTGTCCAGCTACTACAATACCCCCAAGCCATCCAGGATTTTATTTTTAGTGGGTGAGGATGGAAGAGAGATTTAGAACAATGAAATAAATTTCTTTATTTTCCCCAAGTAGCTTATTCTGCAAGAGATAAAGTAAAGAGATGATATTCAAATATGAACAGGCACTTTCATCATGCATGTACTTAGAAGTATAATTGTATTTTGGGGATTTGTGAAAACTAATTTTTACAGCACCTCTTTTTGTGTCTTTAAGATAATATTTGTTTGATATACTAGTGCATATTAATGTATAAATTCAGGAGCTTTCCAAGAGAGAGTGAGAAATATTAGTAAATGGTGTGGATTCTCTTGCTAAATAATCCAGCCTCTTAAATAGCTGTAAAATTTGGCTGTTCGTATTTGGTTTTGAGAAATCCTGTTGTCAGGATAATAATTTGGTTTCTACTGACCAACATGATATCTGCCTCTGTGACTAATTGTGTACATTGTGAGATGTTTGGCTGATCTAGGGCATGATTCTTAGACATTGAAGATATTTATTTTCTCTGTAAGGAGCAAATGTTTGCTATGCCCTTCTTGAAATCCAAGAGGAGTTACTAAGGAGCGAAGCATAGTTCTGTTTAAATTCAGTTGAACATCAGGGTTACCTTTATTGAGAGACTTTAGAGACTTTAATATTATATATATATACCTCCTGTCAGTTTCTAGAAAATTAAAGAATAGCTGTGCACTTTCAAAAGATAGAGGAAATGTTCTGGTATTGTATTTCTGCTATAGTGGAGAATGAGTACTTAGTAAGAAACATTGTGTATCATGATTTCTAAAATAGGAACAGGAGGGCCAATTCCTGGGGTCCTTAGAAAAGAAAGATCCCCAGAGGCAGAAGATTCTCTGACTCCACTGCCTTGTATATGGCATCAGTATAAATTGTACAGCTTGTCAGCTATCAGTATTAACTTAGGAATAAGATACTGTTTAAAAATGCAGCTTTACTCTATGGCCCAAGTGAAAAAAAAACCAAAAAACATCCTTTTGTTTCTCACATATACACGAGAAAGCCTGTAAACTTTCTAAAATTTAGGAAGAGGTGAGAAATGCTGTTGTGGACCACCGGAGGGAGGGTCAGGAAGAAGTTAATTAGAAAAAAGTTTGTGATTATGTTGAGTATTTAGTTTGTCTGGATTCTGTTGATGGTAGCCCAGATCTTAGAACTAGAGTAATTCAGGTTCAGCTACCCTTTGAGTGTTTACTGTGTGCCAAGCACTGTCATTTCATTTAACTTTTGTAATGTTTTGAGACAATATTATCCCCATTTAATGGATGAAGAAACTCAGTTAAAAGTATTTTAAGTGATTTATTCCGTATCTTAACAGCTAGTAGGGAATATATTCATCATGTTGAACTCAGGCTGCCAGACTTCAAGTAAAAGAAAAAAAATTTTTGAGTACTTACTGTGTCATCGCACTCTACTAAGCAATTTATTTCTATCTCGTTTGATCTTTACCACAATCTGGTAAGGCAAATTTAATTTACAAATGAGGAAAACTAAGGCTTAGAGGGCCTTACACAGCCACCAAATTTCTTAGCCATACTTTGAATTTGTTCTCTGAACTGCTACACTCTGTGGCCTTTGTAATTTGGAAAGAGAATGGGAAAACTGTGAAATTGGTTAATTAAGGTTTCTTAGGAGGCCGGCCTTGTGGCCGAGTGGTTCAGTTCGCGCATTCATCTTTACTGACCTGGGGTGTCACTGCTTCAGGTCCTGGGCGCACATGTAGCACTGTTCATCAATCCATGCTGAGGCAGTGTCCCACATAGCACAACTGGGAGGACCTACAACTAGAATATACAACTATGTACTGGGGGGCTTTAAGGAGAAGATAAAAAAGATTTCTTAGGGTAAGCTTTGGGAACTTTTACTTTTTATAATGTTACTTACAAAGGGGAAAGTAATTGTCAGTCATATACAAGTAAATTTAAGTTGTTT